GGGGGGGGGGGGTTTTGAGGCTAACTTGGTGCGCTTGATTTTGACCTTGCACCCTGGCTCCACGGAACGTAGCCCCCTCGGTCTCAGTCTCCCCCTTTCTGCAGCATGGGTTTGCCTTCTGGCATCTACTAGTCATCACAGCGGACTGGCAGACCCAAGGTGCTCTCCACGTGAGCCCGAAAAGGTCACGGTGACATTCTCCCCAGACCCTAGTGTCCCTTTCACCAGGATTGTCCGTTACACAGAGTGGCCTGGAATGCTCTGTGAGTCCAAAGAGGCAGAGGGGAGGCGGCTCGCCCCCTGCTGGGGATCGAGCCCGAAACCCGGGCATGTGCCCTGACCGGGAATGAACCATGACCTCCTGGTTCACAGGTCGATGCTGAAGCCCTGAGCCATGCCGGCCGGGCTGAGCATTAGGAGTTTTAAAAGCTCCCCCCGTGGTTCAAAAGTCCTCCCAAGAGAGACTTTAGCCCACGGTGCTGCTTCCAACTCCGAACATGCGTCTCGAGGGAAGATTCTGCTCTTGGCTTCTGAGCGTCAGGAAGCCAGTCCAAAGCGATGCGTCCTCTGTCCCACCTTCCTAACTAGGAAATAAAAGCTCAGTGTGAGTGGCACGAAGGTGTGGTAGAGGACAGGGGACTGTGCTGCCTGCTATCCAGCCCCAGGTCCTAGCCAGTCAGCCCTGACATGCTCACTGCAGGCTCTGAGCCCACAGAGTACCCCCAGGCCTTTCAGGACAGCCCCAGGGCAACTCCCTGTGCCCTTCCATTCTGCCCTGGCCACCGGGTACCTGAGGTTCCCCAGGAGGGGTGCCTCCTTCTGGGCCCTCCCCAGCATGTGCTCTCCTGTTCACCCTGACCCACAAGCCCACAGGGGCCCTACATGCCGAGTTCACTCCTCTCTGCACCCACCTCCTCTCCCCAGAAACTGACAGGCCCTCCCTTCACCCTATGACATCTGGTGGCTGGGCTGGAGGCCAGGTTTCACGGAAGCTGTAAGACACAGCCTCTTGGGGTCTGTCTGTGCTCTGACAGGCACCAAATGACCAGCTGAGCACAGGGTCCCCCTGCAGACTGTCCCCCAGGCATGTCAGCTGCTGCAGGGAAACTGCCCTCTACCCACCAAGACATGGCCAGAATATGCAACTGTCCCTGAGCTAGTCAGGTGACCAGAGTCTTGGCCGCGGGTGACAGAGCACCCTCCATGGGTCAGCGCTGTGGAAGCACTTCATATAAAGTCTCACAGACCCATTTTACAGATGAAGGCCAAGGATTTGAGGGGGAAGGTCATGGCCTAAGGCCAAAGGCAGGATCTGAACCCAGATCTCCAACTTTACCCCCAACCTCTACAGCAGAGGTTCTCACATTGGAGACATAAAAAGCACCCCAGCGATTCTATCTCCATAGGCCCCTGGAACCTGCATTTTTATACAAGAATGCAAGAGACCCTGACACAAATGGTGAGGGGCCAGCCCTGAA